CTTTTCTCTCCCTCAGCCAGGGAACCTACAGGAGACTGAAGTCCCACAAACTTTGAAGCTGAGATTCCATTCCCAGGCAAGCATCAGCCTCTCTGTGCAGACCAGCAAAGGTGTCTCTCAGACTTTCTTTCCCAGTAGGCACCATCACTCCCAGTGCTTCAGAAACTGTTCACACTTCACATCTGCTGCATACACTAGTCAAAGATGCTCAGGATGACGATCAGCCTGCCTGCACAGCCCTATCTGGAAGCCTAAAGGGAATGTACTGCTTAGACACCATGGTCAGCTCTGTGCATGTGCCACAACAGGGCCACCTCCTCTCTTGCTCTTACAGGAAGGACAGGTATCTTTCTAGTGCTTGGTGATGATGCTGGCTCAGCTTTTGGTCACCATCAATACATCTCCATATGGAAATGCTATTACACACAAGAACATGTGCTGTTGGCACACAGTGCTCTTGCACACTCAGATGCACACTTGCTTGTTTATTGGTTCCTGTGGAGGCTGAGTACCCACTAGCAGGGCTAATATGCTGAACTGGGGCTGCTGGCCCTTTGGATTGTGGCCGCCAATCTGCATGTCAAGACACAGGTGTAGAGCACAATGTTCATCATCACATGCAGGTTGGCAGGGTAGAACCGCCCCTCTGCGTTTGGAATTTTGATAACCCCCCTCTTCCCTAAACCTGCACTTAATCCAGGAAATCACACAGTACTTTAGGCTCAAGTATACCACTACAGGCAAGAAGGGCTTTGTGCACAATCTGCATTTTTATGTTCCTTATTTCTTGCAAAAATAAAAATCAGTAAAAACCTTTATAAAATATTCCATGGGTTGTGATCAGTTTTACCAACACAAGCATAAACAATTTGGAAATTGACGCAAATACTAGGACTCAGTCTAATGTTTTCTTACACTGACTTCTGTGATTATTATACCTCTGGCATGAGGCTGGTGGGTTTCTTTTTATTTCTAGTCAGACCCCTCCAGGGTGATACGTTCAGCAAGGCTTTGAGCACCAGGGGCTTTTGTCTCCCCGACCCCTCTCCTCTGTCAAAAGCCTTAATTAGCTGGTTACTGTAATTATTCTAGCTACTGACACTCCCCATTTTCCTTACCTGCTATTTCCAGGGATCTAAAGGGTTCACCACTCCTGTGGCAAAGGGACCTCATACATTCATCATACATTCTCTCCACCTTTTTGTTTTCCTCTTTTATGATCAGAACAAAAAAGAAGGGAAAGAAATCATCTCTCCCTTCTGTTACAGCATTTGTCTAGACGTCCCCACAAAGCTTCTTGTAGTCATAGGTGGGGCTTTTTCAGTTGTGACTGGATCTACAGTGTGGCACTGATTCATGGTGCAGTACTAGAATTAAGAGTGCTAGGATTAAGGATGAGTGATGACTAAGTCAGTCCACTGACTGGCTTGGCACCGTCCCAATCCAGGTAGCCCAGGTAGAATATAAAAGGAGCAGAAAGATACTGCTAAGGTCCCTTGCTTGCTTTGCTACTTTCTGCCTGCCATAAACTGTTTCTCCTCTGCACTGCCATCCTTCCTTGGAACCAGCCAATTATGGACTGACCTCTACAAAGTGAACTAAAATAAACTTTTCCTCCTTTGAGTGTCAGGTATTTTGTCTCAGCAACGAGAAAAGTAATTAAGCCCCTTCCCTGTCTGGGTTAGACCCAACTACTGTCACTTTCCAATCAGTGATAAGTTTCCATGGCAACCACACTTTCCAGTGCTACCACCAATTTAGCAGGAGTATAGGTATTAAATGGAGTTTTCCCCAACCTCTGAGAGTTCCATCTTCATCCACAGCTATAGGCAAGCTGTTTGTATGACCTGTGTCTGACAGAGTTTGGTCTTTTTTCCTTCTAAATGGCAGAAGGATGAAAGATTTTCCTTGCAGGAATTGCTAATAAAGAAAAGCACACCAATATACTTAAAAAGGTAGTGGAAGGATGGATCTGAAATAGAATGTGTGATTGGTGGAGTGTAAATAGATAAATGGAGAATGGCTGGGAATGGTGGCAGCTGGGAGATTTACACCATGGTCAAGGGTACAAACTCTGAGCTAAGAGTGCAGGAGATAAAGATTCCATCTGTGTGTGGGCCTTCCTTATCTCCCTGAGCCTCAACACTCTCCCTGCAGCAGACAGACATTGAGATGCCTCATGCAACTGTGTAGGGAAAAAAAAGACATAAAAAATGCTTCTCACAGTGTCTGGTACACAGTAGGAGTTCAACACATGGGAAGTGCTATGTTGTCATTAAGGCAGAGGTGAAAAGAAAGAGTGTATAAGTAAGCAATCACACTGTTGAGCTTGTTAACACTGTGTGGCCCAAGGACAAGAGTATGAGCAATATAGTTGGGGTTTTGATTACCAGCCTTTTACTCTTGGGCCATTAAGTTAAGCTGCGATTACAGAAAGATTTTCATCATGGCCTAACTCCAGGTTCAGAAGCATCTATTTATAGCTCTGCTGTAGAATTAGTTTAATTTTTAAGAAGAAACAAAAAGCTATTCATGGACTATGTGGGGAGAGAACAAGGCCTCACCAAGGGGCAATCCCTCCCTGTAAACCAGCACCATGCACAGTCGCCCACCGTGGGACAGACAGACCCCAGTCCCTTCTGGCATACTGGCTGGCAAACAAGAAGAACCAATCCCCCCACCCTGCCACTGAAAGTCACCGGCTGATCTGGAGAAACACAGGCTGCGATGATGGCTATTGAGGTAAAACGCACTTTGATGCTGGTGGTGGTTTGGTGTTTCACTGATCCTGCAGGTCTAGGGCCAGTGGTCTATCATCTCTTAAGAGGATAGCAATATGCAGTGTAGTATCTATGGGGGATCTCCTTCTAAGGGTGGTAGCCACTGTCGATTCCCCATCTTTTTGTTTTGAAGCCCTGTTTCATTTTCATTGTTTTTTTTGGGTTAATGTTTGTTCTCTTTTGTTTTGTTTGATTTTGTTATATCTGATGGCAAGAGCAGCTATCTTAAAGATAGCAAGACATGCTATGGTAGCCATTTGGATTTATAGTTGGCTTGTTTTGAAGTCCTTTATTGTATTCATTGTTTTGTTTCTGTTGGTTCTGTTCTGTTCTGCTCTGTTTGATTTTCACTATGTCTGAAGGTATCTGCAGCTATTTTGAGGACAACAAGAGGCATTAAGGTAACTATTATTTTTCATTTTTTTTATCGGTACCGGGGATCGAACTCACGACCGCCTGCTTGCAAGGCAGGTGCTTATGCCGCTGAGCTAAATCTCCAGCCCCCAAGGTAACTATTATTGATTTCATATTGTTTTGAAGTTCTGTATCACTTACACTGGTTTGTTTTAATTGGTTTTATTCTGTTTTATTTTCCTTGGTTTTATTGTCTTTAAAATAAAAAAAATTTAAATTTTCAAAAGAAGCAGCAAAAAAAATATGGGTTAACCATTAAAGTATTCACCATTCCATATTCCCAGTACCAATCAGATCTATTTCAATTCTTCTGTAGGAGCAAGAAAATCAAGCATACACATATTTTATAGTACTTTCCTTATTGTACAGTAAAATTTTATTTCAAAAAGAAAATTCATATTATAACAAATACATCAGTATGCTTATTCTTCAGCCAGCTCCCTGCCTCCACACATCCTCTCAGCATTACTTGTGCCTTAGTGGGGAGCTGAGAGATCCTTCATAAATAACACCCAGTCAAGCCTTCAAGTTTAAAAAGATAAAAGCAGAATATTAAGGTAACCTATAATCCCAACACTGGGAAGGCTGAGGCAAGAAGACTGCAGTGAGCTTAAGATCAGCCAGGGCTATAGAGTGAATCAGAGGTCAGCCTGAATTATATAGCCAGACCCTGTCTCAAAAATAAGCATGCAAAAAAAATGAATGCTTAAATTTGTAAAATTTCATTTGTGTCAATTTGGTGATCAATCTCTATTAAGAACTCCTAAAATTGGTAAACAAAATATTCTGGTAACAATGAGTCTTTATTACTACCTGAACTGGCAAGAAAGTCAAGAAAATTCATGAAGGTCAGAAACAAATCCAGAGAGGTAATGTGGTAGTGGAGTTAGAATTTTCCATGGAGCTAGACGGTAAATATTTCAGACTTTGCAGATTATACACCTCTGCTGCAATCATGGGTCCATGACACTGTGGCACAAAGATGTTCATAGATAATATGTAAAAAGAAACAGAAAATGGGCACAGCTGCATTTCAATAAATTCAATTTATGTCAGTGAGCAGAGCAGAACTTGGCCTGTGGGCATGGTGTGGCAACATCTGCAGCATAACATGGCTTTTTATGATTTTCTCTCCAGAAAACATATGTGGTACATGATATGTGGTGTATTGTCGCATGATGGTTCTGATTTCTTCACATCTCTCTGTATTCCCATATCCCTGCCTGAGGATGGGGGATCTCATGCTGAACTGACTCTTAGCCAAACCATGGGACTTCCTTTAACCAATGAGACAACAGTGAACAGGGCGTAGTCACAGAATGCGGCTTGTCCTCTCGTGCTGCTCCTGGGTTCTTGTGTCCACCAGCAGGTGTATTAGTCCAAGCCAGTGTTTCCCACATCCCCATTAAGAAGCACTCTCAGGAGCCAGCACCAACCGCCAGACATGAGAGAGGCCACTGGAGACCAATTTGCCCCACTAGGTGACTGTGGCCACCTGGGCAAGTCCCCACAAGACCTATATGACAGCCCCCAAGAGAGCTGGCCCAGATTGCTGAATTAGCCTGCCTTAAGCCACTAAATTTTAGGGCATTTGTTTTACACAAAAAGCTAAATATTACAGTGCATAGGAAGTTTATAATCTTCTAAAACCATTCACCAAGAGTCAAACAATACATTTACAGAAATGCTAAAGAGAAGAGTAAACAAAAATAATTTTTTGTAATTCATATTCCCATTTTAAAAATGCCAGTAGGGACAAGCCCTCCATGTTCCTGCCAGCAATAGGTCAGAGTGAGGACTTCCTACCTGAGCAGACTTCTTTGTAAGTAGGATTGGGAGTATAGCCTCCTGCAAATCCCACTTGCGTCGAATAGACACCTTTCAAGATCCAGAATTTCCTTTCAGCTCCCCAAAAACAGCCCATTCCTGCAAAAAACATCAGACAGTGATGAAACATGTTTCCCAAACAAGGAGCTCATTACCCATTACAAGTCCTTCCAGCTAGGAAAGAGATGCTTGTAAGACCATTTGGTGATTAAAAATGACTGATTCCAGCTTATATAGAGAGAGAACTTTTAACATTTAAAAATAATTTTATTTAAGATTATTTGCATAGAATACCTTTTGTTTTCACTGGACAGAAACTTAGAAGGCCTCAGATTATAGTGGATTAGTAAATCTACACCTTTCCCCAAAACATCGTTTTTGGAAAACAAGTTTATGAATATTTTCATACTCAATTCATCAATTATATCGTATTTAATGATAAGTTCCCTGGTCATTTTTTAAATTTTTATTTAAAGAAAGACTAAACAAAACAGAAAATGGGTAGAAATAGTACATACTTTCAAAGAAAAAAGTAAACTAAGAAATCACTACTTGATGATTACAGATTATCCTCTTACAAATAGTTAATCAAGATACTAAAGTGGAGCATATAAAGTGGGGATTCAAACAGTGAGACTGCAACCAGTTCTGTTCAACTATCCAACAAAAACTTAGAAATACGGTTATCAATCCTATACACTTAAACATACATGCAGTTATCCATATCTTCAATTATGTTGAGATTGAATAAACCCAAGCAGGCTAATATCACTCTGAACAAAGAATAATACTATTGCTGGGGGCCACATTATGACACTCCAGGATCAGCATTAGGTACTTTAGTGTCTCTTTTTCTTCAAAGTATTTGTTCATTTCATCATGTGTCATAAGATCAGTTCTCATAAACTGTTTATAGGTTCTACACATGCATGAGTCTTAACATGCATTTCTATCCTTTCTATGTTAGAGGGAGAAACAAAACAAAGCAAGACAAAACAAAACATATTCCTATAAACACCTGAAACGAAAAAGACTTATAAGACCATTGTACAAGGAGTTCTACCATAGTTCCTGGTTGTCTCTTGTTATCTTCAATAGAATTGGCTATATCATCAGACATAGTATAATTGAATATATCAGTACATAACAGTATTAATAAAAACACAACTTTGTATATAGTATAAAACTTCAAAAACAGGCAGTAATCAAACCAGAATGTGTAGCATAGTGAGTCTTGTCATCTTCAGTGTAGTTGCCTATACTCTCAGATACTATCAATCATATCAATTTTGAATAAAATCTGTCGATACCAAACAGCAATCAAACAAGCCAGATTTAACTAAGATCAGTCATGATAAAACAGTATAAGTCATATAGGGCTACAGATTAACATAATAGGAAATTAAAGATGATTACTGTGCTATATCCTGATGTTTTGGGGATAGTTGTCTGTGCCCTCAGATCTAGTGCAAGTAGACAAACTGGGACAGAATAAAATCTATCTAAGCAGAGTGGTGCAAGTAATATGGGTTTTAAATCCTGATACACTATTAACAATACGGCCATCTTTTGTAAGACTCTCCCTTCCCTTTAGTTCCCTGGTCACTTTTTAAAAAATACTTTAACAAAGACATGTAGCACTCAGTGACTTGTCTGAATGCAGAAATATCCAAAATCAATATATATTTATGCAGTATTTCCAATTAAAAATGTCATATATCTGTTCAATTATGATGTCACTATTAATTTGCATGTGCTAAGTCATTGTTTGCCCAAACATATATTCTTCTGAGTTCTGTTACTGAATGTAATAAATGAGGAAGGTATGAAAAAGCGGGAGGGAAGGAAAGAACAATAATAAACAAACACAAAAATTGCATTCCATTCAACTAGAAAACATCGTTTATGCCCATAGTTATTGGATTCTTTTGAGTATTGGATAAAAGCCAACACGCATCTCCCAAGAACACATGTAGAAATGTGAGAAGCATCACACTGTTTTCCCTTGGGCCCACCAAAAGCACCCCACATTCTCTACCATAAGTTATCAAAGTGTCCAGTGGAGCTGCTAGTTTGTGGCTCACAAATGTAAGAAGCCTGCTACCTCTCTCAAGCTTTATGTAGCTTTGCCAAGTCACATATAGCTAAGATCCTGGGGGAGCAACAGCTGGTAAATTAATATGTGCCTCCTATTCTGACAATCACTAGCTTTACGAGCTTTAATGACAAAGCTGTAAGAAAATTTAGTTTACTGACATTCTTGACAGCTGTTAATAATCTCCTTTAAAAATTCAAAGCAACAACAACAACCAAAAAAACAATGTGAATAAAGTTATACATCATCCAAAAACATTCTACTTGCTAAAATGTGTGGGGAAATCCTACCAAAAATAGGTTAATAGTTTAAAAATATGAGACAGCCATATAATGAAATTCAATGCAGTAAAACAATTACTGTTGGGATAACATTGCAACATGGAAATATGCACATGACTGTATCATAATTATCTAAGGCTAAATTAAAAGAGAAACACACAACTATATGCATGTTCCTATTATAAATGTAAAAATGTTCTTACCAAAATAGACTGGAAGGAAATATACTAAAGTTATAACCATGATTTTAAAATTCTGAGAATATAAGAATGTTTTAATTTTCAAATTTTCTGTAATAGATTATTACTTTAAAAATGAAAAAAAATATTCTCAAAGAAAGCAAAATTCCAAAGATATAACATAGCATATACATTTTTAAGTTACCTACTACTATACCATTTATAACCCTTGTAACCATCACTCTCAACCCAATTTCTCTCCCTAAAGTAACCACTAACTGGCTTTTACAGTAATCTCATCTTACGTTTCTCTATGTTTTTAATTATCCAACTATCCACCTCATGTTATATTAATCATGTTAATGTTCTAAAATGCTGTCTTTAAGTCCTTTTAAGCAGCAAGTTGCCCTTTGCCCTCTGAAGAACATGAGCTTCCCACAGCTCAGCTTCTGCTGATAGCATTCTCATGGCACAATTCAGTTGTTCATGTGTCCTCAGAAGACAACCTGCTGCAACTGATGACTAGACCCAAGCCTTCCGCAGACTCAGGCTGGATCCCTTGTTAAGACCGAGGAGGTGCTATGCTCTTTGATCAAGGAGGACATAATGTCTCACTATCTCTTTTGTGATGTTAGCATCCATGCATGCTCAATGCTTAGAAAGTGTTTCTTCTTCAAGGGTTGCAAAATGGTGATCTTCTGTCATTCCTTTATCATTTATCAGTTGAGATACACTAAAAAGAAATGCTCAGTGGGGGCAATTCATAATGAAGGAGAGAAATGTGTGACTATGTCCATTTACTTAGCATCTTCAAGATGATGAGTTTACCATCTCCAAAGCTGACCAGTTAGTTCTCACCATTATACACTCATTAATCTAGATGCGACAATTAAGGCTCTTGGCAAGCTTTATGGGTCAAAGTTTCCACAGCAAGACCTCTTCAAACTGGCTCTGGAATCCGTTTGTCACAACTTCAGTTGTCCTTTACAGCTTCCTTGCTTTCTGATTTGACCAGCTGTTCGTGGATCCTCTCGCACATTTCCCACTCCACAACCAGGGCTGGCCACTTCTCTAAGAAGCCTGGCACCTTTAAATGGAAAAGGTATTTCATGACCATGACCCAGGTATCACTGATGCTCACTGCAGAATGACAAGCCAGGGAATTCTGGTGGACTGTGTAGCTAATGTTGCTTATGAAGAGCTAGTCCCATGGGGGCAGTAACAATCCATCACAAAATAGAGGTCATGACTTCCGGGAGAACATGGCGGACAGATAACAGCAACTACCGGAGGCTCTCTGAAAACTAGGCTCAGAAGCCAGGTATGGTGCGGACTAAAGAGACATAAGCAGGTGGAGTTATGCTCTGCTGACTCAGGAACGAACTCGGCTGAGAGAAACCAACTTGGAATGCAGTCCTGGTGCTAAAACAGGAACAGAAAAGCCTCGCTGCTGAGGCTGGACCCCACGCCATTTGGGTTTCCCGCCGCGCGGTGGCTGGCTGCCTCTACGTCGGCTCGGCAAGGAGAGAGACGCACGGAAACTCTGAGAACGGGAGTCTGTGAACGGAGTCGAAAACAGGACAGGCAGGGAGGCATGTTCTGACTTGTGGCGAGGTGAGTGAGAGAAACTGACACTCCACCACAGTTTGACTCCAGCGGACTTTCTGGGCCCGGGCAGTCCTGTGGGAGCAGGGCGCGCTGGCGACTCCAGCCACACATTCCCCTGTCGGGCGGGATTGGTGAAAAGTGCCTGGCCTGCGTGACGCTGCTGGCGGACCCCGTAGGCTGGCCCAACCCAGATCCCAGAGCCTGACGGAGGTCGGGAGGGGCGGGCCCCCGCGTAGGCTGCCTGGTGTGCAGCAGTGAGTGGAAACACCTAACCGGCACAATTCGATCAGGCTGTGGCTGACAGAGAGAGAAGCTAGGCCTCTCATATAAGCTTGCATATATAAGGAACAGAGAATATGGGAAGAGGCAGCAACAAGAAAGGCTCCTCGGCCCCCAATTCTGAGAAACAGGCAATAACAGACACCGCACCATTACACATAAGGCGCCATATAGAGAGCCTCATAGACCAATTCAGGAATGAAGTTATCAATGACCTGAAGCTAGAAGTATGCAAAATAGTTAGAGAAATACTAAGCACCACCCAAGAAAAAACAGATGGTGGAATGGAAGAACAGAAAAAGAGGGGAGAAGTGTTTGATGGAGAAAACAGGGAAAGCATAGAATACGTGAAGCAGGTTCAAAGGGACTACCAAGAAACTAAGAAGTCTATCGAAGACTGGCATAACAGCTTGAAAGAAACTAAGGACAGACTATCTGAACTGGAGGGCAGAATTGTAATATGGGAGAATGAAATGAAAAACTTCTTAAAAATAACAAAGAAACAAACAGCAATAATACAAAGACAAGAAGATGATAAGAGGAGCCATAACTTAAGGATTAAGAACATAAAAGAAGAAGTAGGGACACAAACAAATGAACTACAAAAGCTACTCACAGAAATAATCCAGGAGAATTTTCCTAATTTAGCAAAAGGTA